GTTCCCATGGCTGGGAACCCCTCAAATTGACCTGGGCTTCCAGCCATGGGGGCTCCCCAAGGGGCCTTGTAGGAGGGATATCGCAACTGATGCTGTTTCCCAGCCGCAGGGGTGCATGGGGCTCTCCCATGACTGGAAGTCCTGTCAGTTGATAGGGCTCCCAGCTGTGGGGCCATATGCTCCTGTGGCTGGGAACAAGCATCAACTGGGAGCTCCCAGGCTCAGGGGTGAACATGGGCCCCACCAGCTGGAAGCTCCGATCAGCTGATGATACTCTCAGCCACAGGGGCTTCTGGCCACGTTTTCAAGTAATGGTGTGATAAGAAGCAGCTACAAAGTTATTACACTTATTTTGTGGAATAACTCTGTAGCTTATTCCTCTCTTTTCATGTCATTAATTGAATGTGTGTGTGGCTGGATAACCATCTAAGGCATACTTAACTGATTAATTACACCATTAGTGTAATGTGTAGATGGGGCCTAGGAATAGACTGCTATGAAACCTACAGGATGAGTGGGGAGCCACATAGATCTAGACAATGAGAAATAAATAAGCATAGGGGATTATCTGAAATCCTGTCTCTCTGATCTCAGGCATCAGAAGGATCTTCTGTATAATGTATAACCTTATCCAGATGTCTGTATTCATTCTTTAAAAGAAATGAGGTGGGCTCAGTGTTTGCTTGAGACATTGGCATTTCTGGTGCCCATCTTTTAGGCAATAACTTAAAACTTTTTCCCAGCAAGTGGGAGATCCAAGTTCAGTGTCCATCTTTAGCCTGAGGGAATTCAAACCCCCAACCCCCAACTCCTAACATTGCCTTAACTATGAAGCTATAGGCTACTTGGGTAGGACCATCTTCCACTCCTCCAATTGAAGCTGGAAATAGTAGAATGTGGGAGTCCTAGCCCAGAAAAGGAAGTACAGGAGAGATGTGCCTAATGATGAGCAGTTTCCTGGATTCAAGTCTCTTCTGCCGTTATGCATTTTGTTTAATATAGTCATTAGATAAAAATTAGAAAAAAATCCCAATTGCCCTTAACCACTGGGGCTAGGTCACACCACTCTCTGTAGCATTTCTTAGTGGCTACCTACCTATAAATCCTATTTTTAGGTACCCAGTTGCCCCCCCCCGGGTACCTAACACTCACTGTGGATTATGTTACGTAGCATTATGCCTTTGTGGATGTATCTTTTCAAACTTAACTGAAAACTAATATCCTGATACTTGTTTCAGTCACAAATATGAATATACACAAAAGATTTTGTGGGTGAGAAGGCAGCTTGCAGAATTCATTATATAACGGCAAGGCTGGAGGGCATTTTGTTTTGTTTTGAGAACATTCTTCAACGTAGGGATATTAAGATGTAGAGTACAGTTGTAATCAAAATTATTGCTGTAATGATAGAATTGTGTTTCTGTTATGCCATTTAGACTCTAATAACTTCAGATACTAACATTTTTCATTCCTTGATGTCTATGCAATATAGACTATAGATGTCAGTACATAATATATAGTGTGTACATGTGTATGGTATGTGTGTACTTTTGTAATATTTGAATGTGCCTATCATGTACAGAGAATGGGTTTTCCTAAAGGACCATTTGCATAAGTAAAAATGGTGGGAAAGTTTATGAGCTAACAAATTATTATTTTTTATGTTATTTCTTTTTTTTTTTTCCAGATTAGTTTTCATTCCTGTGCTTGGCTAACTTTTGGCACTTAAGAGCTTAATGTTCTTTTTCAAGACTTTTTTTTTTATATCAGAAAACTGTTATTCCTAAAATGACAAAAATTTACACTACATCTGTGAAACACGTCTTTTAGTATTCATTGTTAGGTGTACAGCTCCATTAACCTAGAAACAGCTTAGAATGGAAGATTTTTTCCCCCTATTTCACTGTACATGAGAATGAGTAAGCATATTTTTAGATTACAGGCTAAACCTTTTTGTATGCCTTGTCTTTCACCTCATTGATGGATCATTGAAAATGCCAGATAGATATCAAGATCACCCAATATTTGTTTTCAGTTCTGTTTACAGCCAGAATAGTAACCTCTTGTGAAAAATGTGGTTATTAAGAAAGCTATGAGAAAAATGTGAATACCAGAAAAAGGATAATATTCCAACTGAGCAAATAGAATGAATATTATACATTTCTATATCTTTCATCATAGGCGAATGAGAGCTGTTTTTAGTACAAATGTTATTCTTGAAGCAGAATGGCAGGGGTTCTCACTTGTAAAAATATTTTTGTTTTCTTGGCATTGTGAAAAAGGGAAAAGTTCAAAAGAAAACTGTGGTAGTTTCCTTTTCCTAAAAGAACAATTTTCATAATAAAACTTGAGTCCACTGATAAAAGATGACATTTTTGTCCTCAGCTAAAGCTACTGATTTTTCATGAGGTTGAAAAAAGTAATAATTGTTTATTATAACAATAGATAGTGTTATACTCTTTTATCTATTAATGATTTCCTTAGGTCCTGATTCTGAATTGGGAAGGTACCAGTGTACCATTGAAGTCAATGGGATTCTTTAAAGGCTCCATGATTTGTCCTAAAGTATCCAAATAAAAATGTTGATGCTACTTTTGAGCATTCAGTTGGTCAAAACTAATTTTCCTCCCAAGGCTTAAAATATCCCTTTTAAAACCAGAACACAAGAATGGCTTAACAGCACTTTTGTCACTTGCCCCCTCAGAGCCTGTATCAACTTCAGAATGAAGTGCTTCAGGAAAAGTAATAGTGCATTAAAAGCCACTAGAGAGATTTGGATACTTCCCTTCAGTTACTAAGGTCCCTAGCTCCTACTGGTTTTAATATCTAGATTTATATAGGCACAAAATGTTTTGTGTGTCAGAAGACAGCTTGCAGAATTCATTATAAATGTAGGCTGGCAGGCATTTTGTTTTTCCCTATTAGTATCGAGTACATTATTTTGTGGATCTTAACATCTCTCCATTGATGCATAATTTATCATTTGTTCTTTTAGGTTCCAGTTGGAATGTTTTTTCTGGCAGCAAACACTTTTTGATCACAGTTATAATGGTCAGGTTAATGAACATGTTTTCTGTGAGAAGATTTTTTTGTTGCTGATTACAGCAGATGAGAGTAAATATCAATGGGAATTAGGTGCCAAATTAAGAGTTAAGCACTTAATTACTTTGACTAGCTGGACATGTGTTCAGGATTCCTCTATGCCATCTAACTTTTTCTAATTGCAGGGAATAGGCACAGGTGAAGTGGCAGTGAGTGAGCAGGGCTTATTTCTCACAGGTATCATAGTGCTTAGGGTCGGAAGGGACCTAAAAAGATCATCAGGTCCAACCCCTTGCCCCAGGCAGGAATGAATGCCGGGGTCATAACACCCCAGCCAAATATCTGTCCAGCCTCCTCTTGAAGACCCCCAAGGTAGGAGAGAACACCACCTCACTTGGGAGTCCCTTCCAGAGCCTGGCAGTCCTGACTGTAAAGTAATGTCTCCTGATGTCCAGCCTGAACCTTCTCTCTAACAATTTGTGTCCATTATTCCTAGTAACCCTGAGTGGTGCCCCGGGGAACAGAGCCTTCCCCAATTCCCACTGGTCCCCCCTGGTGAGTTGGTAAATGGCCACAAGATCCCCTCTCAACCTTCTCTTGTGGAGGTTGAACAGGTTCAGGCCCTTTAGCTTCACTTTGTAGGGCCTGACCCGCTGCCCCTTGACCATGCGAGTGGCCCTCCTCTGGACCCTCTCAATGCTAGCCACATCCCTCTTGAAGTGCGGTGCCCAGAGGGGAAGGATCACCTCCCTGGACCTGCTTGTGATGCATCTGTAGATGCACGACAAGGTGCGGTTAGCCTTCCTGACCACTTCCTTGCATCGGCGGCTGATGTTCATTCTGGTAGTTCTAGGCTTGGCAGGGAGGTAGTATATAGAGGACTCAGGACCTTTGAAAGTCTTAGTTATATTTCTTAAAGAGAAAGTAATTCAGATAAATAATTTTAAAAAGTAATGACATCTAACACTATACAGGTCAACCATTGTACAGTACTTTAGTACCCATCTGGACTAAGTGCTATGAGATGGCCTCTTAACGAAGTTCCTTCTGGGTATGTTCAAAAGGTGCCTTAAATTCCACCCACACAGAGAATTTCCTGCTTTATTTCATTGGATAACACTGAATTCCTGTAAACTGTTGTTGCTTCCTGCAGAAGAGTTAAAATGTAAAAATCTAATTAGCTCTCTCATGCTTCTGTCAAAAAAAAAAGACATAAATATCATCTTTGAGTTTGTGTTCACTCACTGATTAGTAATTTAGAATTTTCATTGATGACTCAAGGCATCTTTAATAAGATGCTTAAATAATTAAGACAACTTAATTAAGAATGCTGTAATAACAATTTGAAAAGATCACTCTGTGGTTCCCTTGAGAGGATTACAAATTCACTACCACAGTCCTGTAACCACAATATTTACTGTTAACCATATACTCATTGTCATGCTTAATAAGCAGAGGTATGTCACAGTACCCCCCATTGGGAGAGGGATTCTTAACAATAATACAAGATTACTGCCAACCCACAGGTAATTTCCAAGGCTAAATACAATCATATGATAACATTTATTATGAAAAGAGCCAGATTTTGTACTAGTGTAAATAATCAAAGTTGATGGATCTGTGCCAAATTAAGCCAGCTGGAGATATGGTCTATTGTGTCCTTTACGTTTTAGACACAGAAACAAGTATTTAGGTAGCTTCCATTTGAGTGTAACATGCAACTTAAAACCAAATGCATCATTATTACTGTGGATTTTTAGAGGGTTTTTTGAAGAGATAGTCATATCCTATGGGTGAGACAGTTTTTTGAGGGGTTTTTGGCTGAAATGTTTCCACTTATCAGACTACCATTTTGTTGTCCTTATCTGTTTAGTCATGTGTTTGATTAAGTATAACTAAACAGTTCTGAATTTCATCTCAATTAAATTTTATTTATTTTTTATTCTTTTTTTTCCCAGGAGGTGTTTGTATTGCTCAGTCTTTAAAAATTCCCCGTGAACCAAAACCAGGAGAGTTTGACAAGATCATCAAACGCTTGTTGGAAACTCCTAATGCTCGAGCTGTAATCATGTTTGCAAATGAGGATGATATTAAGTACGTCTTTCCTAATTTAAATTGAAAAGTTGCTCTTCATAGAAAGATATTCACCAAAATGTGACTTTCTAAAAGATTTCAAATTGCATTCCAATATCAATATTCTTGGGAACTGGTTTATAGGACATTCAGTTGCAATTATACATCATGCTATGCCTCTGATCCTCAGAGACTTAACAATTTTTTAGTTTCTAGGAATGAAGATCCTCCAGATTGTAACTTGGGGATTGAAATAAATGAAACAAATAAGAATGATAGACACAATTATATAGCTAGGGGAAAGGATGAGGCAAATTAACATGTACAGTACAGTAGCTTGAGATCTGAACACTGTCCCTGTCGAGAGATATAGTTTAGACTGTCAGAATGATTGTCTAATCGGTTAAAGTGAGAGTATTTATGTATTGCCAGAATTAATGTTGAAGGGGGGCTCTAATCAGTATTATTTCTTGATAAGTGCATTCTGTCTAACTAGTCATTTTGTTTGTTTATTCTCAGGAGAATATTAGAGGCAGCCAAAAAAGCTAATCAAACAGGACATTTTCTTTGGATTGGCTCAGATAGTTGGGGGTCAAAAATTTCACCTGTTTATCAACAGGAAGAGATTGCAGAAGGAGCAGTCACCATTCTGCCCAAAAGAGCTTCTATAGATGGTAAGAGCAATAATGACACAGTAGTGACACAAAAGACATGCAGTAAATTTTTTTTGAGTCAGTTTGAACCAGATCTGCAAGGTCATTTAGATACCTGGCAGAACCATCTCTTTCTAGTGTATTTCAATGGATTAATGATAAATTAATTAGTATATAGTAATCACTTGAATTGATTTTCTTCACCTCTAGTAATCTGCAGCAGCATTATGAACTGGTACCAGCAATAATTGCTATAACAGAATATTTTTTCCAGGACAAATATTTCTATGAATTATAAATATAGGTAACAGTTTTAATTCCCTAAGTACTATTTCTAATTTTAAATAAAATTTCATTCAGGTAGTTAATAGGTTTATATATTACAAGTATGTATTTCAGTCTTGTCTATGCAAAATCCTTCACACACATTTTGAGATATATTATTTATCTTATACCATATTTTGTGCTTCTTTTATTAAATGTAGGATTTGATCGATATTTTCGGAGCCGTACCCTTGCTAATAACAGAAGAAATGTATGGTTTGCAGAATTTTGGGAAGAGAATTTTGGATGCAAATTAGGATCACATGGAAAAAGAAACAGTAATATCAAGAAATGCACAGGTAAACTGCTAGAATAAAATATATACTTAATTTTTTTTATAATTCATTAGAAGACAATATTATAGGAATTGGCTTTTGTTGGTAACTTGATAAGCTGCTTATGACAGATATTCATATACAAACCCTTTCTATTCAAGGCACTGATTATGCTATCATAAGTTGATATCTCTACTGTTTGTAAGCTTTTAAAATTGATATTTCTTTCGTTAGTAGGTTACAAACTCTTTTTATCAGGTATAGCTTTAGTTACATGTTGGTTATCTAGGCTTACTGGGCTAGATCCTATTTCTAGGAAGTTGACCCACTGAACTAGCCTAGGAGAAGACAAACAAGCCTGAGTAAGTGTAGCTCAGTGAGATGGGACCCCAAAAGGAAAACAACAACAAGAAAAAAAATCAAATTTCTCATCATTTGGCTTTGTGGAAAGAAAACAAACTTTCTATTTTCTATACTATAGCATTGATATTTTCTCCAAATGGTGAACAGAAGCATTTAATAAATCTGTTGTATGGCTGAAATAATGAGATACTGTTCACTAAGCTTATTGCAGTTTCACAGGTAGAAACCCTGAGTGTACAAGTGTTCAAGCAGTTTCTACTGAACCAAAGATGATGGGTCCAGTAGAAATTTTTGTCTCATTGAACAAGGTGGAAGTCAGCTTCAGTACAGTTTCTACCAGAGGAATGAACACTTCCATACTTACTTTACCAATAGAAGCTCCACTGCTGTCTTTTAGCATCCCAGCATGCATTGCTTTGTTGTTCCTCCACTGCTCCAGCTGAGTCATAGACCAAAACCCTCCTCCTGTCAGCCTTGGGGCTGGGAAATAAATCCCAGTCTCTATCCACAGCCCTGGGCTGCAAAGCTGACAACCCACTGATGAGCCCCTGAGCTTTAAGTGTTGGCTCTGTCACCCAGCTGGGCAGTGAGTGCAGTATTTAAAACCTGGAGGGCTGGGAACCAGGGTGGGAAGTACTACCTACTGGGGTGTGCGAAATGGGTAGTATTTGATTTGGATTTGGATTCGGCCTGATTAGGGGGACAGTGATTCAATTCGCTGATTCAGATCACTGTCTCAATTCAATTCAGTCAAATCTGAAGATTCAGTTCTGATTTGGAGAATCAGCAATTTTGGCCAGTTTTCTGTTTTTTATACGTATCTTGAGGTATCAGGCATGGCTCATGAATGCTGAGATTCTGGGGCAGACGGAGAATCCCATGGGAGCGCGGGGTGGGGAAGGGGGGTCCCCTGCATGCTAGGTGGTGGACCTGGAAGTGGACCAGAAGTACTTCGGGTCCACTTTCGGGTCCATCGCTGAGTGTGTGGGGCAACCCCCTGCTCTCCCCTGTTTGGCGATCGGCCGCGGGGGGAGCTCAGGTGCCTCCCACCAACCCAAGAGGCACCAGTCGCCAGGGCAGGGGTGCGGACCCCCACATGGAAGTACTTCTGGTCCACTTCTGGGTCCACTGCCAAGCATTTGGTGACCCCCCCCTGTGCTCCTGTTGGATGCTCCATCCACCCCACCATCTTAGCCACACCTGGTATGTCGAAAAAACATATAAAGCTGTGTCTTTGGCCAAATCATCGAATCTCTCCGAGTCAATTGTGGAGGCTTATGATTCATTTTGGAGAGATTAATGGGTCTCCTGATTCAGTTCAGATTTGGAGATTTGGCCACCAAATCGGGCTGATTTTCCTCCAAATCGAATCAGTGACAAAATCTTCACACAGCCTTACTACCTACTCCCCTTGCTGTTTAAGTTTCCTTCTTGGGACCAGTCTGAGAGTGAAGGGAAGCAGGAAGTAATGCTCCTGGCTTCTTCCCCAGACCATGGGCTACATAGGTTGGGGAACAAGCTGGAGGCTGTGCCTCTTGGCTGGGTGCCATTGTCAGCACTGGCTGTCTGGAGAGCACACAGCTGGCTTCCTGAACACTTGAACAGCCTGTAGGGTTTCAAACTGCTTCAGCTTAACTGCTGCATTTCCACCGGTTCATTTGAATGCTTACATACACCCTAGGATTCATAAGGCACAATCTACATATAGTTTGAGAGCTCAAAATCTAATATGTAAAATGCATATCTGGTATACAGATGTAATATGCTCTGTATATGAATTATTACTAAATAACTTCACAATATGTTTTCTAAACCAAAAGGAAAAATAATGGCACCCTTGGATAATAGCATCCTTTTGGCAGCTTCTCTTTGGAACTGCTGTGTCTACAGTTGTATGTTTACCACTGATATCCTAAGTGTGGTCTTACCTTTTTTCAGGAACTGCTTTTTTCTCCCTGGCAGCTATCTGTAATGGGACTGTCCCTGAGGGTGGCCACAACATCTCCTAGTGGGAAAACTAATCCTGCCTCTCACTCCAGCTCTTCAGAGTACCCCTCTTTTTGCTATCTCTCCAGCCATGCCTTAATGGAACTGTAATAGCATGTAGGGAAGCTGCCCCTGAGTGTGGGAGTGATCCTTGTGGTGTTGTCTGTGGTGCTGTCCACTTACTTCATTGGATGCTCTAGCTACTTGACATGAGAGCTATAATCTACTGATAAAATTACTGTACTCACTGACTTGTACTACTCATGCCCTGCTGGCACTAAGCTTGCCACTTTTGCACTGATCATGGCCCTACAGACACTTAGTCTTAGGGCAGTAATCATGGCCCTCTCTCCCTAATAATGCATTAAGGGCTTTAATTGAAGCCACCAGCTGCCTCCATAGCTATGTCCATGCCTCATAGATATCAGTTACCATTAGTTAATAAATCCAGTCCTTGGGGTCCTCACCCCTTCTGTTTGGGCTTCATCCTTTATAACTTTGGCCCCTTTTCTCTGGCTGTGACCTTTGGCCCTGGCCCACTTGTTCTGGCCTGGCTTCTCAGTCCCAGCCTTCTCAGCCTTAGTCTTGGCTTGGGACTTAGTCCTCTGGACCTCACTCTCTGCTCAGGATATGGCCCTCTTGGCCTCAGTCACCTTGGGGGCTTTATCTCCTCTTCAGCTACCTCTGCCTGCTCAGTGCAGGGGTTCAAAACAGTGGGCACTCCAGGTACCCTGCTGCACAGTCTGCTGTCCACCCCTGCAGTCACAACCTGGTTCTCTGGTCAAACTTAAACACAAACATCAATACACTGGTCTCTAAAGTAATCTTATACCCCACATTAGGTCTCTACACATTGCATTTCCTTCTCCAGGCTTCCAGCTTTCCTGCAGGCAGTAACTTCTTTCCTTTAGGGGATCAGGACGTGACTACTTCCTCTGGCTCAGCGCTGAGTTTTCCAGTCATGTGACACCCCTCTTCCCCCTTAGCTCTCTTTCTGAGCCCCTCTCCCCATTAACTCTCTTGCTGAGCCCTTTAGCTCAAGCAACTGCCTGCTCCTCTCTGTGGCACCTGGCATGGCTGAGCTGCTTACTCAATAGCTGCCCTAAGCTCAGCTGCATACTCTCCCCATCAGAATGCAGCTCTAACCTGCCACTCTTGCCTCTTGAAGTAATGGGTGCTTGGCTACCTGTTACACTGTCCCTTCAAATTTGAGTCAGAAAAACAGATATTCCCCTCTTCCCGTTTTCATCATGTTGCATCTGGCCACTGTAGGATGTAGATGCATGAAGTTGCTCTATCATATGCCAGTGTAACCAGCCCAATTTCTGTGTCATGGTAATATCCAATGTTAAAAAAGAAGGGAAATAAAGGACTGAAGTTATAGCTAGGTATGCTTTACTGTAATCTGTTCAATAATGTTCCTCAAGAAAGAAGTTTATAGGCTATGAAGGTCTGTATAAGTTTTCTCAGCTTCAAGAGAAGGTATTATTTTTAGCTCTTCAGGTGGAGGCTACAGGCATCTAATTAAGAGGAGAGGACTTTTCCTTCTTAGGTAAACAATGTTTAGGAAGGCAAGAATGTATCAAGGGACTTGTGTCAGGTATCCAGGTTGTAGCCGTATTGGTCTAGAGGAAAAGGCAATCAGGACTTATAGTAGAGATGATTATCTTTTATTAGACCAACAAGATTTTTGCAAAAAAAAAATCTTTAATTGCAAGCTTTCAGGCATAAACACCCTTCATCAGGCACTGGAGAAAAGATTGTAGCAGTTCTCTTGGGTAGAAATGAAAGTTCATATTTCATAGGATTTCAAAGAGAAGTCAATTGATGGAAAACTCCTCTGTGCAGCCAGTTCATAGCTGGTATGAAGCCTCTCACCTCCTGTGAGGATCTGTGATGATGCAAATTATCAAGGAACTTGGAAACCAATTTTCCATCTCATGTAGCCTCCTCATTGGAGGGACAAGTTTTTCATTTATTACCCAAGAAGGAATTTTTAAGACTGAGAGGCTTTTCATCACACACATCGTTCAGGAGAAAAATTACACCTACTGCAAAAGAAAGAACTGGCAGAGGCAATAGGCCTTTTGCCTACTTTTGATTTTCATATGTTGGAGATTGTCCAGCTGAAGTGCTTATAAGGCTGCAATCTGGTGAGGAAAATCCAATACAGCTCAATAGATAGAGCTACTTGGAAGCACTGTGAATTGTAAGGTCTCTTGCATTATCAATTTCCAAAAGACAAGGTCTCTCGCATTAGCAAGTCCAAAAGACAAATAAAAAGACCCAATAATTTAAAATATGAAATGTGACAATATTAAAAATACCCCAAACAATTCTCCTAATTCTAATGCTGTTGCAGTGATAATATTTATACTCATGGGGGGAAGATCCAAAGCATAGTAACAGAGAATGAGGTTGAAGGGCTAGAGAACAGAGATTAGAAAGAGACAGAGTCAACTGAAGTGTACGTTTAAGTTTGCTTAGTTCAATTCAGCTCATTTGATTAAGGTTTGATCTGTTCTAGGGATGTAGGAGGTTTGGCAAGATTTTTACTGTAACTAGAATTATTAGACAAGCCTTAGTACATATAACTAGACATTTAATGTAGGCTAATGCAAAGGCAGTGTAATATGTAAAATTTAGGGAGAGAAAATCAGACCTGATGTATGGAG